TAATAACTATTTCACACATCCATTTGAGTACTGCATAAAAAGCTATCAACATTGACCAAAATGTTTCTCCAAAAATGTTATAAATATAGTCTTCCAGAATGCAAATACTCTGTCCAAGTTCTTTCTTCAAAATATTTATGAAAACTAATTTGCTTCCATAATCCAGAATTTCCATCAAATCATTTCCAGAGCTACTTTCCCAAAAGTGCTTTATTCATAATTTTCAAATTTGTAACTCCTAATCCTCCATAATATTTTGATCTACAAATTTCATCCTATTTAACCAAATTTGTAAAACCTTTATGCTCCAAAGACCCAATCCACATAAATCTTCTCCTCATCTTATCATTTGTTTTAATTACCCATGAAGGAACTAAAAAGAAGGAGAATCAAAAAATTAGCATGAAGGAGAGGACTGAGTTAACTAAAACTAGTCTTCCTCCCATTGACAATGATCTACCTTTCCATAAAACTAATCTCTTCTCTATTTTCTCAACTAAAGGAAACCAGTCATCTTTCTTCAATCTTCCAGACCTTAAAGGCACCCAAGATAGGTAATAGAAAAGTTACCACTCTTACAGTTCATCATAGTGGCCAAGTTTTGTTGTAAAGGTTCATTATCCTCAAAAGTAATAAGAACACTCTTATTAAAGCTGATTTTCAGACCAGAGGCAAGTTCGAAACAGTATAAAACCAGCTTCAAAACTATCAAATGTTCTCTATTATTCTTGTAAAAAATCAAAGTATCATCTGTATATTACAGACAAAATACTTTGTGACCCATATTGTCAGGACCTAATCCTTCAAGAAGATGCGAATCAACTGCCAAAGTTAACATTCTAGTAAAAGAGTCTGCTGCCAAAACAAAGAGAATGGGTGACAAAGGGTCTCTTTGACGAACACCTCTTTTAGACATAATCCAATTCTCAGGTTTACCGTTTAAATTAATGGCTGACAAACCTCCTTTTAAACACATACTCACCCAATTTATCTATTTATATCCAAACCTCTTAGCTTTCAAAACATCTAGAATAAAATTCCAGTCTAATATATCATAATCCTTCACAAAATCTAATTTTAACAGAATCCTCCCTGCAATTTTATTATTCTGAAAACAATTAGATATTATTTCTTAGGCTGCAGCCACTCCATCAAGCAAGAATCTATCCTTAATAGACTGAACTGGGTCTATAAGCAAATCTAGCTTAGGATTCGGTATATTAGTCAAAACTTTAGTGACCACTTTATAAATCACATTGAGAACGCTAATAGGTCTATAATCATTGATAGTTAGAGATTCATTTTTTTAGAATAAAAATAATGTGAGCATAATTGAGTCTGTTGATTTCTAGTCTACCTTCATAAAATTCCTCAAAAAGTTTCATAACATCCATTTTCACCGTGTCCCAAAAAACTTGAAAAAATAATGCAGGAAAACCATCGGTCTAGGGGATTTATCCCCATTCATATCAAAGATAGCTTTGTGAACTTCCTCCATAGAAAAAGATTGTTCAATATCACTAGCACCCCAATCAACAAAAGGAAATAAACGACTCCAATCAAGTTGGAATCTATGAGGAACAGTTTGACCAAAAATCTGATTGTAATGGTTTAAAAAAAACAGAGCAATCTCATCATCAGAGCTAATTTCAGTATTATTGTAAACAATTGAAGAAATCAGGTTATTTCTCTTCCTACCTTTAGCAATCTTATGAAAATATGAAGTGTTGTGATCTCCCTCTTTAAGCCAATGGGTCTTAGTTCTTTGTTTCCACATTTGTTCTTCTTAGAATAAAATCTCATTCAACTGGACTGAAATATCATTTTTTCTGATCATTTCATTATCTGTCAAATCTCTATTCTCTTTTAGAACTTCTAACTCTAAAAAGTTATCCAGTAACTCCTTTTTTGTTTTGACGTTATGAAAATTGGAATGAATCCATTGTTTTATACACTTCCTCATAAATCTTAGTTTACCCATAATGTTTTTAGCAGCCGTCACTAAAAGGAGCACAACTCCACCACAAGGAAAACATTTTGTAAAATCTTCAAACTGCAGCCAAATTTTTTTCAAATCTGAAAATTTTAACAATTTGTTGATTATCCCCACATTCAAAACTTATAGGGGCATGATTTGATAATTGATTACTAAGGTCTTGTTGCCTAGAGAAAGGAAACATGTCTTCCTAATCTGAGTTGAAAAAAACTTTGTCAAGTCTAGCCATAGAAGATAATCTTCTCTTAGGGGCTGTTTGGTTGCACACTTTTTGAGAAAATATTTCTCAAAAAATCTGACAATGGCAATTTTATAATTAAAAGTTTTCTATAGATTTCTGTAAATTGTGTTTGGTTCAACAAAAAATTTATAGAAATATTTTCTATAAAATATCAAAAACTACCAAATTTTACAAAAAATATTTTCCTCTCAAAATGAGAGGAAATCAACAGGAAATCTGACATCTTCCTTATTTAATCAACAAAACCCGTCCCATACCCATTTTCTATAAAGTTATGAGCCATTTTCTTGTTTTGAACCAACCAATCAAAGTATAAAAAATAAGAAAATTGTTACTTTTTAACTTCTCAAAAATTTTCCTATAATTTTTTTAAGAAATACAAGGAAATCATATTTTGGGTGGAAAACATTTCCTATAATTTATAGAAATTGAACCAAACACCCTCCTTATTTGACCAAGTATAATTTCTTCCATGAAGGGGGCTATCTATTAGTTTCAATTCATTGATCACTTCATTAAATTCTTCTATTTCTTTCATATGACTAGCTTCACCCTTTCTTTCTCCAGGATTAATTGTAACATTATGATCTCCTACCATAACCCAAGGACCTGAAATGTTGTTTTTAATATCTTTGAGTTTCTGCCAAAAAAGCATTCTCTCTCTATTACAAAGAGGTCTATAGACTGATGAAACAGTCCAAATAAAACCATTCCTTTTATTTTGTAACACAATAGTCAAAACAAATCTTCTAGAGATTTCATGTAACCGCTTCCATTTATTATAATTCCAACTAATCATTATCCCATCAGAAGCACCACAAGAGGGTAGATAAACCCAATCAAACATGTTACCACCCAAACTTTTTAAAATATTGTCAGTAAAATAACTTAACTTGGTTTCTTGTAAACAAATAATTTCAAACTTATTCAGCTGACAAAAATCTTTAACTCCAAATCTTTTTGAATTCAACCCCAAGCCTCTAACATTCCATGTAACTAACATTTGATAAAAGCAGAACCCCACAACAGAACAATTTCCAAGAATCTGCTCAAAAGTAGCTCTCTCTCGCTCCATTTACCTCACTTTTTTAAGAGGATCAAAATCCTCTTGAGGCTCAAGAATAACAGCACATTTAGAAGCATAGTTTTGCAGCTGAGGGTCATTATGTAGTGAAACCTTTCGTGATTATTTTTCTCCCACATAATTCTGATATTAGAGGAAGTTCGGTGATATGACAATTAAAGTCCTTGTGAGTTGTGAACAAGAAGAATTTCCTTTTGGCTTAGGCTGGGTTTTTTAAACCTGTTAGTTCTATTGAGAGCGCGGAATATAATTTTTCTTTACAGCTGAGGGGAAGAGGATAGTTGAAGAGATATAATGAACGATACATAATACAATTGAATTGTCAGGATTTAGTGGTAACATTATGTGGCTGTCACATTGTTTTGAATTGTGGCTGTCGACGGTCAAGTCTCCATCTTGTACGCTGAATTGGCCAACTTATCAAAAAACAAAAAAAAGACCACGGGTCAAATTTTTATTAAATGCTAACTTTTCTCTGTTAATTCTATTTTTTATGGGAGCCGGTCATGCTCGCAACACTTCATCTTATTTCCAAGGCATGGGACGGTGTATTCAATACTTCCCAATGAAAGGGGGATTGATCCATGCTCGATTCCATAACTGATAAATGGGAATTACCTTGTGAAGAAAAAAAAGACTTTTTCGTGGAATTGGCCATTCCACTTCCTTTATAGAGAGATCATGTTCAAGCAAGCAAATAAAATGTGGTTACAGAAGTCTATCTTTCGCATATATGCTTCAAGAGGCATCATGACATAACCATAGAGCTGAGTAGCGACCTAAAAGATCGAAGGGAACAAGACGATATATAGACAATCAAATCCCTTACGAGTTCAAAACTTGCTTTTTTTGGGCTTGAAGCAGTCTCAAACCAAAATACTCAACAAGCATAAGCATTCTCTCTCCCTGAAAAGGAGGTGATTTAGCCACACCTTCCAGTACAACTACCTTGTTACGACTTCATTCCAGTCACTGGCCCCGCCTTTGGCATCCCCCTCCTTGCAGTTAAGGTAATGACTTCGGGCCATAGCGTCGACAGTCAAGCCTCCATCTTGTACACTGTACCGGCCATCAAAAAGAAATCGACTACTAATTAAATTTTCATTTAGTGGTGGCTTTTCTCTTTTAATTCTTATTTTGTTCAATAGATGGTAGTTGGGTTGTCAATAGGATTTGACAAAGAGGATATGAGTCGGATTAGTGTTTGATCAACTTATCTGTCTCATATTGAACTCAGCTTCAAAGACCTAATAGCAATTTAAAGGACTAATTTTAAACTAGTTTAAGAATTGTAGGACCTAATAGCAATTTCCATTATTTAAGGAACTAATTTCGAAATATGAAACATTTAAGGGACCAATGTCCCACCCCAAAAAAAAAGAAAAAAATAAACTTAAAAAAGTATTCATAGTCAACGCGGCCGGAACCAAAACTAGACCATCTCTGCTTTTGCATTGCGCTAGCGTTACCGAGAATAAAGAAACGAAGAAAGAAAGTATAAGAGAATTAGAAATATGAAAGATATATGGTGAGATTTGTATACCAAATTAAGGTGCCAAACTGACCTACCAGTTATTTGAAGAGGGATTTGTATATAATTGAGAGGGGAAAGTTATCACCCCCTCAGTTTTCCAATGTCATTTTACTGCATGCTCTAATACAGTTCTCTCTGTTTGCAGAAGGAATTCATCCTTCTTGCTTCTGCTGGCATCAAATTCCGATCAACTGAAAGCTAGAGGAGAAAAGGTGAGCTTTTTGTTTCTCCAGTCTGCCTACCTCATCAGTTGTTATCTACTTCATCAATTTTCACCTACTTCCAGAAAGAATGACCGTCAGGTTTGTGAACACCGTTCTCCCTCTGACTGCACAAAAAAAAGGCAAAAAAAAATCAACTTTACCACTTCTATTTCTCAGATCATCAAGAGAAGGGGATCTAGGTGAGGAATGCGTTCCGTCTACTAAAAGGTGCAACTTTGCCCTATCAATCTTCTCCTTTTGCTACAAATGGTCTTACATTTTGATTAAAGCTGTCTATGGAAATTTTCTTATCTTTGACCATGCTGATTATTTGTTGGATTATTAAATTAAAAAACATTACTCGTAGTCAACAAAGAGTTTAAAAAATTTGAGGGTTGACATACCATACTTTACCGCGTCAGATATATATACTTCAATTTTAATTATCAAATTATTGCTTTACCTATCCGTACTTGCAGCAGATCATGGGTCGTCACACCGAGCAAATTCATGACTTTGTATGACTGTCCGTCGTTAAGGGAAAAATTGGAAAAATAATTAGTTTAATACAGAGTGAGATTGTGAACAAACACTGAAAACAGTGAATAATGAATTTTTTTTGTTAGCTTACTACAATGGTTTTAAACTGCATTCAAGCAAATTGAGGTAAACATAATTACAGTCATGTCTTCCTACGTAGAGCTGTAAATTTCTCAAAGAAAATTTAGGTTTAAGAAGCTAACCAATTCTCTCTAGGTTCCACTATCAAGTTGCATTTGTACAAAAAAAAATCATGTTTTTTATTCTGCTTGTATTTGTGACGTAGGATTATTCTTCAATTACTTATATTGCTATATCTTGTGTTTGTCTGAACATGTTGGTTGTAGCAACCACATCTTCAATCATGACCCCTGTTTCGTCGAAAGTTTCATGTCCCAAAAGTTTTCATTTCAGCTGTATATTCTCATGGTTCTGATATAAGTTCTTTAAGTAAAGTAGAGGACATTCTAACTTGTTGATTATGTTCGATATATGTGTTTAAAGAATCTGATAATTTAATATGTTGCTTTAATTTGTTCGCAACGGAATCATGATAAACATTTCATCTGCTAAGTGGACAAATAAATAATTCATCATATATCAGATCTATAACAATTTAAGGACTCATTTGATGATTTATGCTAAATTCTGCTGATCAAATGGCTATGGTCCACTTCATGTAAAAACTCATCCTTTTTGCTCCTGTTTGTCAGATCATCAAGAGAAGGGATCATCTGTGTGTTTGTTTTGACTTGTTGAAGGATTGTATGCCACCATGCAAATTACGACGTACGTGCTCTCTTTCCAACAAAGCATGTATCATCTCTCTCCATGCTTCCTATTAGCTAAAATTTACATCCATATATTATGTTTTCAATTTTTTAACCTCCAGATTTCATTATATACAATTTGCGACTGCTTCTTAGTATGTATATTTCTTCTACCAACTTTGTATAGACACATTGTACTCTTTTGAATAGGCATATCTAAATAAATTTTTTCCTGGCACACAACAAGAACATAATGTCGACGCGAACAGAAAGAAAATTAAAACAAAATGAATATAGTAGAAAATGGTATGCCTCATTACCGGAGGAGAAAAAAAACGAAATAAAAAAAGGAAGAGAGAAGCTTATTATATTAAAAAATTAAGAAGAAAGAAACTGCAGTACTTTCTATGCCTGCAAATCATAGCCAAACAAATGGAGAAAGAAAACTAAAGTATAATGCACATCAAAATTCACAAGCAACGCAATATAAGAATGCATCGCAGAACCAAGGTACTACTATTTGTCAACCTTCCTCTGCCGTTACTTTCATCCATTTAAACTCAAATCAAGAATCGAACATTGTTACTTCAATTTTATTGTCTCAGCAATCTTCATTCATTGTACATGTTTAGACCCAATGTTTTCAAAGGCGCGCGCCTCATTACGCCTCATGCGCCTTACGTTGCGGGTGTTGGATAGTAGGTTCCTAATATGTTTCCTAATTTGTTTTGGTAACATGATTCTAAATCTGTTTTGGTAACACGATTCTAAATCTGTTTTGGTAATAGGTTATTAGGATTCCTAATCTGTTTTGTTTTTTGTTTTAGAATTCCTAGTATTTGGTAATAGGTTATTAGGATTCCTAATCTGTTTTGTTTTTTGTTTTAGAATTCCTAGTATGTTTATGATTTTAGATTAGGATTCCTAATCTGTTTTGTTTTTTGTTTTAGAATTCCTAGTATGTTTATGATTTTAGGATTTCTACATATATGGAACAATTGGAAGAGAGAATTAAGAAGAAAATTTGGGGATATTTGGTACATAGAAAAGAGGTATTTTCTGAGCTATTGGTTAGGGTTTTGTTTATAGAGAATTAGACATTTGTTGGTGAGATTAATTGGTGAGTTTGAGTAATTCGTAATATCCGTTTGTACTTTTTTCTCTATTAATAAAAAACCCTATCCCCTTCTTGCCCCGTGGACGTATGCAACTTGTCGAACCATGTTAAAATTGGTTGTTTGTGTTTGTGGTATTGATTTGGTTTGTTTGGCTTTCTCTCGACGTTCGTTTGATTTGGTCTCTCGAAGCACATCGGTTTTGTTTTGGCTACGCTTGGGCTGTTTGGAGGAGTAGGTCGTTTTGTAGGCTTTCCTAGGGTTTCGTTTGGTGATAAAGGTGAGATCTTTTTGGTAAAGATTCTATCTTTTTCAGTTTTGGATCTATTCTTCATTTGTTTCACATTTGTTTTGATGCTTTGAGTAAGATGATCAGGAAAGAAGGAGTTGTGGAGGGTACTTCCGGCGTGAAGACCGTCTAAAGTTTGAATATCCACTTTATGAAGATAGATGTAAAAAAGTTTAATGGCACAAACAATTTTGGTCTTTGGAGATGTGAAGTCTTGGATGCGCTCAATGCGTAAAATTTAGAAAAAAACTTTGGAGTTGGACGGGAAACCGGACGACATTGATGAGAAGGTTTGAAAAAAGATGAATAGAATGGCGTGTGGTGTGGTTAAATCTTATTTGGCTCAAGATTTAAAATATGATGTGATCAATGAGACTTCGGTTAAGAAGATTTGGGAGATCCTAGAGGCAAGTTTTTGACCAAGAGTGTAGAGAACCGCTTGCATTTGAAGAGGATGCTTTATCGCTTTCAATTGAAGAAGGGGATCTCCATTGGTGATCACATAAACTACTACACGAAGCTTCTTGCGAAGTTAGCGAATGTAGATGTGATGATTGAAGATGAGGACAAGACGTTGTTGTTGTTGAGTTTTTTGCCTAACGAGGAATATAAAACCTTCGTTCTTACTCTTATTAATGAGAAGACATCTCTTTCTTATAGTGAGGTCACCGCTGCACTTGTGAATTATTAGCTTCAAAAGAAGGATAATGAGACTTCAGTTGAGCCGGTGGCGGGGGCATTGGTCGTAAGAGCAAAGAGTCCAAACCGTGGTAGGAGGTCGCAGTCTAGAGGGCACATCTTGGAGTTCGTAGGAATCAATGTGCCTTTTATAAATAGGATGGATATTGAAAAGCCGAATGCCCAAAATTAGTTGATCGAGTCGGAAAGAATAAGGGGAAAACTATTCAAGCTTCAGAGGTGAATGTTGTCAAGGCTAGTGGTAATAATTCAGATTCAGATTCTTCGGGTTACTCGTTATCTGCACTACCATCAGTTTGTGTTGCCGACTCTACAGAGTGGATGTTGGATTCGGGTGCTTCTTATCATATTTAGCCTAGGAAGGATTGGTTCTCCAGCTTTCAGGAGTTAGAAAGAAGGGAGGTCGTGTTCATGGGTAATGATCATGAATGTCCTATTGGTGGTATCGGTACCGTTCGGATTAGGATGAGTGACATAGTGATTTAGGAGTTGGTTGGAGTGAGGTTCGTTCCTCAGTTGAAGAAGAACATCATTTCACTTGGAGTTTTGGAGGCAGCAGGTTATAGGGTGACATTGGTCGATTCACGTTTGAAGGTCATATTAGGGTTCATGATTGTGATGAAGGGCGTCAGGAGGAATAATTTGTATTATTTGATAGGGAGAACGGTGTTTGATAGAGAGTTAACGACTTCTTTGGATTTAGCTAGACTGTGATATTTGTTGAGGTTGAGTTATTTGATTGGTTATATCGTGCATAGTTTGTTGAGGTGCTTTGACCTGCAGATTAAAGTTCTTTGAGCACATTGGTATGAGCAAGAAGTCCGAGGTGGAGTTTAGCACTTCTATCTATCGATCGAGGGATCTTTTAGGTAGTGTTCAGTCAGGCATTTGTGGGCCTTCCAAGGAGGCATCATTGGGAGGTAATCGATATTTGGTTTTCGTAGTTGGGGATTGTTCTAGGAATTGGTGGGTTGCAACTAGGTCCCGTTGGTGCGAAGTCCTAGAAGTCAATAATAATTAGAAAAAGTGTATTGGCCGAAAGATAACCCGTCGTTCTAGCTTTGGTAGGGGTTCTTTCTTGTATTTATGCCGAGCTCATGGCAGTTTGAGACACTTCATTGATATGAAGACATTGGGATAACGAGATGAGATGACAGTTTTAATGGGTCGTTCCTTACTGGAGGGGGATCGGCATTGGTTGTCGAGCATTGGTTTTGGTTTTGGAGCTTCGACATATCTGGATCATCTTGGTCATAGGTTGCCGACTGCTGCGTGTGGAGATTTTGGATCTGGTGGAGCTGCTTCAGATTTTGGGTTGCATCGGATATTTGGTTGCCCAGCATTTGGTCACATCGAGGATGTGAGATTTGATCCGATTGTACGTTTGGGATTCAGAGGTTCGTTTGATTATCAGTTAGGAGCTTCTAATTTTGTTCTGAGCAAGTATGTTACATTTGACTCTCGGCAGGTGAAGAATATTGATCAGATCATTAGGATATCACAGCGGGTGGAGGGTGATGCTACTTCATATTGGGTGGAGATTACTCCACATACTTCAGAGCATACTGCATCGTTTGGGATTCTAGCTGAGGTGATACAATTTGGAGAACATTTGGATTTGGATGCAGATAATGAGTTGGTTTTGGATTCGAGTGCAGCTGGTGGACATGTTTTGGATACGGCCATTGGTTCACCTCAGGTGGAGGTGTTGGATTTG